CCTGAGGTGTAAAAGCGGGTTGCCCATACTCAGCCTCGCTCGCGAGTGATGCGGGGGGGGGGGGGGGGGGGGGGGGGGGGGAACACCCCCCGCGAGTTTTTGATGTTTTGCGATTTTTTAAAACGGTTTTTCCTTCAGGGGAGAGCCTTTTGTTTTTAAAAAAAAAATAGATATTTTTTCAGTGGGGGTGGGGCACAAAGGGGAGTATTATTTATTTGTTTTTTATAATAGTGTTGAGTAGATTGTTTTTTTGTTGTCTTATCTTTTTGTTGTTGTGTATATTTTTTGTGTGGTATGAGAAATATTACTTAGTTGGGTGGGGGGGGGGGGGGGTGGGGGGGGGGGGCGGCGGCCCCGCGGGGGCGGGGGGGGGGGGGGGGGGGGGGGGGGGGGGGGGGGGGGGGGGTGATGGAAACCCTCCCTAGAGTTTTTGATATGTTGCACTATTTCGAAACGGTTTTGCCTTCAGTGGAAAGCCTTTGATCTTCACAAAGATATAAGGTATATCTTACGAGTGGTGGCGCCACAAGAGGCATGTGACGTCACCAGCAATGGCTGCCATCTTGCCCTCCATCTTGGATTTTACCAAGAATTAGAAGTCAGGTTAAAACCGCAAGAAATAGTAATTTCTTGCGCTTGACATACGAAATAACACATAAATAAGCACTTTGCATAATTTATCCACAATCTTTACCTTTTTGAAGAAAGAAGGTGAGAAAACATGCATTTTCTCACAGAAATGGCTTGCCACTTGCTACTTATGACGTCATATCTCGTAACTATAATAACTATCACTAAAGGTCACAAGATAAGCAAAAGGCCCCTGCGGTCACCCCACAGATCACGTAGGCTGGAGGAGGAGACCGCTGACCGCATTGGCTTGCAATTTAACTTTGCCTAAATCACATTTAGCCACATTAAACTTGTCTCAAAATGCGCGCTAGGAATAAACGAACAGCTTCTGAAAAACGTCATGTGCTGATATTAAAATTAAGAAAAATCCTGTGGGGGGGGGGGGTTAGGGAGCCACCTCCCTCCTTGTACGTCCGAGGGTTAAGGAGAACGTTTCCTCTGTGGCATTGGTTGCCAGTGTTTGCTTATTTCTCACTTTTAGCTTTATGATTATTAAATCGTCACACAATTCGTTCATCCATCACTGTATTTACTATTGCAGCCTTAGGGAAAATTATGGTGGAATCTTTTCCCTGAAACTTGGAAGCTATAAGGTCGTCATGGCTGCAACTTCTGAGGCTGTTAAAGAAATGCTGGTGACGAAATCTGGGGACTTTGCTGGGAGGCCACAAACGTTTGCCTTCTATAACATAACCTTAGGTGTGTTTAGCTTAACGTTGACCCACAGTCGAATACAAAATTAGTTGAGGTACTGACACTTTCAGTCTTTTGCTAGATTTGTCATTATCTTATTATAAAAAGGGTTATTTTAGCAAGCCCTCCTTCCACTACCACACTCATAGCCAAACAATATTTTGCCACTGTTTAAGTTACTTGATGGGTGAAAAAGGCCAACTCGGGTTGGCGGCATAGTGGGTGTTCATGCAGTATTTTTTCAAGACTTGCCCTATTTTTTGACTATCGACAGTATCTCCTCAATTTTATCTCTGATTGTAGCTTTAGGCATTACGCAAATTATATCTCGCTCACATTTTTGCAAATCAGATTAAAATATTTTAATATTTTATATTCTTCTCCGATTAGTTAATTAACTTTATGTATAATCCATAATCACTTGGTTAGCCTCAAAAGCGCTTGTCTCGTCCGAAGTCTGTATCCTTGTTAATAATGTAGTAATCAGCCTTCAAAATATTACATTTTCTTTTCTTAACGATAAAGATATCAGGATTACAGTTTTCTAAATAGCTATTACTCGCGCACATTTAAGGGAATCCAAAACAACCTCATTGATTCTGGACTCCAGACCTTGGATTCTGGATTCTGGATTATTTATCAATGGAAACTGGATTGCGCATTCCAGTCGTTAGTGGGATTCCGGATCCTTTGAGCTGTTCTCGGGATTCCAAATCCGAGGATTTCGGATTCCACAAGCAAAAATTGTCGGATTTTCGGATTCCGGAATCCGGATCCCTTACTTGGTGCGATACTAGAAGGCGCAGAGGTACTTATTAGTTGTTCCTGTATGCTTGGGACAAGATCACAAGGTAAGGCCGCGCCTTAATAATCTATCGATGTCCCTTTTTATATTTAGGTGGTAAAGACATCATTTTGGGTAACTGTAGTCCTGCCTGGAGGTTTCATCGCAAAATTTTCACCACAGCCTTGCGCCAGTACCTCTCAAATACTCCTCTGACAGAAAGTCGTGTCAACACACAGGCCAAAAAGATGGTGAACTTCATGAGACAGCAGGATGGCAAACCATTTGATCCAGCCGAGTGCTTGATGCGAACTGTCGCTGATGTTATTTGCGGAATAATATTCAAAGAAGGTTGCGATACCATGAACCAAGATCTAGAAAGGCTTTTAAAACTCAACGCAAACTTTATAGCAAATGCAGGTGATATTCAGGAGGCTACCATTCTGGACTTCTTTCCTTGGGGACGTTACCTACCTGTTAAGTCTTATGACCGTATCTTTAAAGTATTTGATGAAATACACTCTATTATTCGTAAATTCGTGAGAGAAAGAAAAGACACATTTGATCCAACCGAAAAAGTGGGAGATTTTCTGGCAAGTCTTTTAAGTGCCCAGCATGACCTCCAGTGTGAGAGCTATGAAGAAGAAAGCCGGGCCCTCCTGTCTGAAGACCATTTCGTGGTCGCCATCGAGGATATGTTCCTTGCTGGATATGAAACCACCAGCACCACACTGAGGTTCGTCATTTCCTTCTTAGTCAGATTTCCAGATTATCAAAAGGACATTCAGCGCCAGTTGGATGAAGTTGTTGGCAGTCGAGAGCCGTCTCTAGATGACCGTCCAAATCTGCCTCTCATCCAAGCCACGATTTTAGAAGCACTTAGAGTTGGAAACGTCCTGCCTCTTGCAGTATCTCATGTCGCTCTTACTGATACGACACTTTGCGGTTACCGCGTTCCCAAAGATACCATTGTCTTTGCTAACACAGAGTCTGTGCATCTAGATCCCAGCTGCTGGGAAGACCCTGACGTTTTTAATCCATACCGCCATATTGATGTAGATGGAAAGCTAATCACCAATCAAGGTAATTTTTATCCATTTGGAGCCGGTCGCCGGGTTTGTGCTGGTGAATCGCTGGCTAAAGTCGAGCTGTTCTTGTTTGTCTCTTGGTTACTTCAGAGCTTTACCTTTATCCAAGTGGAGGAGAATCTTCCGAAATTAAAGGGAGCTTTTGTACAATTTCCTGATCGATACAAGATACGTGCCATTAAACGAACGTTACCAACAGGCAATTAAATGAGGTATGTCACGAGGACATTTCTGAATGGTTAAGATGGAATCCATGAAATTGAGTGATTCTAATTATCAGTGGACGAAAACCTTGTACCAGAATAATTTAAACAATATTGCATTCTTTTTAACATTTTTCAAGGGCTAAAGATGTAACTGGTTATTTGTAATAACACCAAAGAAAATTCTTTAAAACTTGTGTAGTTTGGCCCAACTTCTTCAAGTCTCAATCCTTGTCCATCCTTGCCATCTATTTCAACAGAGGACAGAAAACAGTTAAAATGCCTAATATAGTCTCGAATAAGAAAACTGGACCATTTTTTTGGAGTTCAATTGCCTCAAAAAAGATTAAGCTTTATTGAAGCGATAGCAAATAGCGTGAGATAGTTCCTTTAATGTTCAAGCCAATCACTCCACATAATAAACTTCAAAGTTATTCTATAGAAGACACGCAGTGGTAGTCTGAGTCCATATAAAAGACGCACTATCCTTCAAAGGGATAAATGTCGAAGTTTAGCATTCAAATTAACATAGTATAAAACGTAGAATACAATTTCCTCCTTGAATTTCTGTATTTCTGTACTTTTGAACTCTAGTTGAATCTGAGTAAAATGTGGGTCATTATTTGTTATTAAGTGAAGAGAGTAAAAGCATGCATTGGATGAGAAAAAAGACAGTTCAAAGTTGATCAGTATATAATTTCCCATTTAACGTTATATCAAAAATTGCAATGTTTCGGAAAGAAATCCACCCAGATTTAAGGCAACGTTATTAGTCTTGGAAATGGTAAGCGCGATGACCGAGTGGTTAGTACTTTAGAATCCGTATCGAAAGGTCCGGTTTTCAGGCAGTGCCCGGGTCTTTGTGTTAAGGCACTGAGCGAAAGACTTAATTCTCACCTCCAACCTTGTGTATATAAAATGAGTAGAGGGGAATGTAACACTGAGAGTAACTTTGCGATGGACTGCCATTCCCTCTAAGAGAAAAAGGAAATATTCCCAGTTGCTCCAGGTTATAGAAAACGGGTTATGCTCTTTCCTGATGAGCCACTTAAAAAAGGTAGTTTGCTAAGCACGAAAACAGTTGGGATATTTCTCACTTGTTGATATGTTTCGGTGCGTTCCAGATCGAATTGGAATTTGGAAGTGTTGGCTTTTGAGGAGAAAGGAAAACCAGAGAGCCCTTACTAGTAAGAAAAACCTCTCGAAGCAAGGGAGAAAACCACCAATCGGGATTTTGAACCTTAAAATCCCAAATCCAATAAGGTCCCAATTTACACTTAGCACTAAGGATCCTCTAGACCAATAGCCCACGTCCGAGTTCCAAAAACCCCCACTTTCAAAGTGAGGCTAGGTGCACAACCTTTCTTGTGAAAATGAGTTTTATTTGCATGAGAAGGAAAAATGATTTCCATATCAAAGGCTGAGCACCTACCCTCGTTTTGAAACAGAGGCCCGAGGGAACTCGGAAATCAGTGGCCTATTATATTAATTAGTGGCCATTAGTGCCAAATACAATTAGTGGCACATTATATGAATTGACGAGTGGGAATATAGTAAAAGCGTAGTGCTGACATATTTGTCGCACAAACAACTTCCAGTAAAAATTCAAAAAAAAACTTCCAATAAAAATTCTTGTTCTCACTTATAAGTAGGGGACATGGCGTTTATTGGCATGCAACACTTGTATACCCCAATTCAAAAAGTGTACACATTCCCTAAAGCAATACCTGGACACTCCAAAAAAAAAGGGTTGGAAGCAGGTTTCCTTTAACTAAATTTAAGTTGTTAACGTCTGATTTAAGGTAGCTTCCGTAGTCGAATAACATTAATTGCTAATAATTTTATGTCTGAACACATCAACACTTCAATAAATGTGGATTGAACGTGCTCAAAGAAAGCATATCAAACCGTTATGCAGCATATAAAATGTGGAAGACGAGGTGGACAAATTTGTCACCTTCTCCCTGCCCATAGATCCTAAACGGATATTGAATACTTGTCTCTAGAGTGCAGAAAATGGGATTTGCGCCGGTCAGGCAGCCTTTTAAACATTATAGCGACATCATTAACTTTATTATCAAATTTCAAGATTTTACTTTTAACTTTCATCTGCAAAATCCATAAAACCTTTTAATATATGATAGAACAAACACCTGGGTATTGCAACGATTGGCCTGTGCTATTACCAGTAAACTAATTAAAGAAAGGAAGAATAACACTCTGCGCAGCGTCTCAGTTATATGGTGAAAATCCCTAAATGATAGGGAAAGCACCAGCTGAATGACGCTATCCAGCCCCCCACTTTAATCATTATGGTGTCTTTTTCTGTGGTCACCTTCCCATCTAAGAAGTGCTTTGCAAAGGCCATGGCATAGGCGTAAGCTATGGAAGAAGCTCAAGACGATTTTTCATTTCCGTAGCCTTCAAACAATTCAAGTCTAAATTCCAGTTTAGCAAGCCTTACTGGGAAAATCGATTTTGTTTATGTCTCTATCTTGTCATAGCCTAAACAGACCGCTTTTACAATACAAAGGCCTCCCTTAATATACCTATGGGTGGGTGCGCAAGTTCACAAGGAAGCATGAAACAGCCCTCCCCCATTAATAAACCAGCATTTAATGCAAATTCTCACCTGGGGCAAAATGTTCGGTCAGGGAGGAGAGAATCCCACAGAATCTTATACTAATGGACGCGTGGAAAATTTCCTAGATCTGTTTGTCTAAATTTTATCCTCCTCTTGATTTTCAGCTGGAACCAGGCTCCCTTTTGAGCCCAATGTAGTCCTCATATTTCAGATATAACAGCGCGCCCTTTTCCATCGGTTGTCAGTACGGGCTACTTTCTTAAGTTTATTTTATATTAAAGGGGCTTAAGCCCTTGCCCGAGTGCAAATGATAAATTTTCCGTCACTACGACATTTTCTCTAAAACCCATGGTAGCACGACGGCTCGTCTGCTTTCCATCAAAATGACGCTGTTTCACGCGCGTACATTTCTTAATATTGAAAAAATCTCGTCATCGCAGTCGTCGTTATCTTAGAATCTAGAGGTCTCTACCGTCTCGTCTTATCCGATTGAAGTTCTTTGTGAAATCATGATCTGCAAATGTATTAAATGCAAATGAATGCATAATCCATTATCTCTCGTAGCCTGCTTCTGGAGTACCGTTACCTCGCCTTCAAAATAATTTACAATAAAAGGTACCAAAGCAAGCACCTGCCTGGCTCGATGGTCAGCATGTCGGACTTTTAGTCCAGCAGTCCGGGGGATTGGATTCAACTAGTTGTGACTAGTGGAGGATCTAGACCTTTAGATAAAGGGGGGGAGGAGGGGGGGGGAAGGAAGTCGGGCATCCAGACCCTGAGATGAGGGGGGACCCGGACTCAAAATTTTTTTTTTTTTGGCTCCCTTTTTGTCTCAAAAAAAGGGGGGTAGGGGGAACGGGCCCCTGGGCCCCTCCCCTGAACAGCAGCCACATGACACACACCGGACACGTTTCTGGTATTGGAAGTCGGTGTGCGCGGGCGAGCGTGCGCAGGTGTGGTGATGTAGGACGGGGGGGGGGGAGGGGGGGGGGGAGTGGGGGGTGGGGTGGGGAGGGCGGGGGGGGGGGGGGGGGGGGGGGGGGGGTGGGGGGGGGGGGGGGGGGTGGGGGAGGGGTTCGTCATTCCATCCCGTGAGATGAGGGGGGACCCGGTCTCAAAATTTTTTTTTTTTAGGTCTCATTTTGATCTAAAAATAAGGGGGGAAGGGGGAACGGGCCCCTAGGCCCCTCCCCTAGATCGCCCGCTGATGACCACTACCGGATTTGTTTCTCGGTTGCTCCGAGTTCAAATCCTTGGTCATGGTTAACTTTCAACTACACTGACAATTAAAAAAACTTGTTTCAGCCCCAAAGGGCCAATTCAGCCCTGCGGGCCAAAATCTAGTTCAGCCACTCCTGAGTCCATTTGAGCACAATATAAGTCAGAACAGCTCCATCAAAAGGCTTTTTTCGGCCCACGCTGGGGCCCATTGCGTCCAAATCAGCCTTAGATACAAATTGGACTCTATTGGCAGGTCCTGATTAAGGGAGCCAAATTGGACTCAAAAATAGGACTGTTTACTCACCGAAACGGCCCAATTTTAAGGGCTAAACTGGATCTTTATGACTTACAGTGTAGTTTAGCAGCTAAGAGCACTTCCACTACAAAAAAAGGTGCAAGTCCTTCAGAAAGAAAACTTCATAAAAACTAACAAGTCTCTAAGAAATGGTGTTTTTCGTATGGTTCTATTCTAAGGAATGAATGTTGGGCTATACCCACAACAAGCTAGATGATATTAATTTTAAGGATTTTTATTTATCGAGCTCATAGGCAGGCAATTCATGTGAGCACTGTTCTATAATATCACACATTCCACCAAACTGTCATTAATTTATCACTAAAAAAAACGGCACTATGATCTCTAAGATATTACTTTCTTTAAAAATGCACAATTTACTTCGGGTGGCTGATGCTTTTGATCTCGTGACCCTAACATTTCCTTCGTAGGGCTGTATCATAGTGGGTTACCGATTTGGGGGGCAAAACTAAGCTGAAACTAAACTAAATAGCCTATTTTATTTATATTCTTCCATAGTGAACCGTAAAAGAAAGTTATCGAGGGATGGTGCCAGAGAGATAACAAAGTTTGGCCAGCTTTGGTATTATTTTCGACCGACACAAAGCATAAAATTGTTGTTCCGTTTCCTTTCTAGTGATGGAAAGCAAAAGACACGCGTTTACAGTTTAGAAAGATTTCTATTGTGGTATGATTTCAGCAGAAACCGAGCCTTTGTTCATCTTCTTGGGATGACACGTATCGTGTAGCTAGTTGGAAACTGGGTAATAGATGCCTTTGCCTTAGGAGGATGCCCTTCTCCAGCGATGAAGGTGAAGTTGTGAACCAGCAACGCGACAAACAGGAACAACTCAATTTTCGCCAAAGATTCACCGGCACAAACCCGACGTCCAGCTCCAAAAGGATAAAAATTCCCTTGGTTGGTCATCAGCTCGCCATCTGCATCAATATAGCGGTATGGATTAAACAGGGTGGGGTCTTCCCAACACTTGGGATCTAGGTGGACAGACTCTGTGTCAGCAAAAACAATGGTATCTTTAGGAACACGATAGCCACATAGGATTGTATCAGTAACTGCAACATGAGGGACTGCGAGAGGTACCACATTTCCAAGTCTCAGTGCTTCTAAGATTGCAGCTTGAACGAGAGGCAGATTTGGACGGTCATTCAAGGAGGGCCTGCGATCTCCGACTGCTTCGTCCATCTGGTTCTGCATATCCATTTGATACTGTGGATGCTGAGCCAAGAAACTCATGATCCATCTTAGTGCGGTGCTGGTGGTTTCGTAGCCACCGACAAACATGTCCTCCATACAAGACACGAAATAGTCGTCGGAAAGAAGAGCAGCCCTTTCTTCGTCACTCACACATTCTGTTCGGAAGTCGCTCCTGGCTCGAAGCAAAGCTGACATGAAATCACCTACCGGTTCTGTCGGATCAAATGATTTATTTCTTTCAGTCATTAATTTTCGAATGATATTAAAAATTTCATAGCAATTCTGGTGAACGCGATCGTAGACTTTCAGTGGTAAGTATTTTGCGAAATGAAAAAAATCTAACAAGACTACTAACTGATAATCTTTGGTACTACTAAAGCGATGAACATTTAGCTTGAGGAGACGGTTGATATCCGGGTTAGTTGTGTCAGAGCCTTCATGAAACGTAATTCCACAAATGACATCGGCGACGCTTCGCTGCAAGCAATCTGCAGGATCGAAATGCTTCCCTTGCTGCTCTTCCATAAACTGAACAAGTTTCTCAGCCTGGGTCATGACTCGGTTTTCAATCAGAGGAATATCCGTGATGTACTGACGCAAGGCCGTAGTAAAGAGTTTCCGATAAAATTTCCAAGCGGGTCCAGTTCCAAAGACGATGTCCTTGCAACCTGGAAATAAAAACAAAATAAAATGAAATGAATAAAGAGGGACTTAAAATAATCAGATGAGTGGTAGCGTCTGTACAAACGATCAATCCTCGCATAGCGATACCCTTGTATGTGTGATTCGATTCTACGTTAACTTTGTCATACCAATCAATTGTCATTCAGTTATTCTTCCCATTTTGTACCCATTCCCATTTCCATTTTATCTCATTCAGAGTTACTACGTTAGTACTGAAATGAAATAATTTGACGTCATCAACGACCTATGGAGAAGGGGAAGTTTTAGCAGTTGTCTTTAAATTCATTGGACAAAACTGACCTTTGGTCTCACATTTATTCACATATTGTACTCCCAGGTTTGAAAGCAGAGCTGGCGTTAGTTCAACAGTGAGGAGAAGACTGAAGACTAGAGAGGCCGAGGTGACCGTGTTAAAGATACATATAGAAAGATACATTCGGATTCTGGAATCTGAATTTTTGTCTTTGGAATCGGGAATTCAGATTTTTGGAATCCGTATTTTAGCTCAAGGCCTTCCGGAATCCCGTTAACGATTGGACTCCAGAATCCAAGTTCTGATATGACAACGAATTGACCTTATTCACGATGCCAGCCATCTATGCTCAGGGGGCAAGCCCCGTCGGAGGAGGGTACTCCCTTATAAGGGCTTAATGAGGACGTGCGGCCAGCCATGGTATGTTTTTCGGGATTTTTGTCTTAAACAGGGTATCGATTTTATCAATTTTTGTCTTAAACAGGGTATCTTTTCTTATACAGGAGCCCACAACCCTGTTCTTAGACGATAAAGAGCCTGCGCTTATGTTCTACTAATTTATTAAACTGGGTATCAAAAAACGGAATTCTGTCTTAAACAGGGTAGGAAAATCAGCGATTTTTGTCTTAAACAGGGTCAGGGTATGAGGGGCCGAGCCGCACCTCACCCAAGGATATATCGAGTACCCCCCCTCCCCCGGGGGGGCAAACAAGTGATAAAATCTGCCAATACAATAAATCGCGGTCGAGTTTGTTTATTCTACACCAAAAAATGAATAACTTTTTATCTTGAAGACGCTAATGGCAAGTTATTAGTGAAAGTGTTTATTGTAAGTTATCTGGAAGCAATAGCAACCGTAGATGTCCATTCAGTATGTAATAATGACGTAAAACTCGTCGAAACTCGAACTGTACATTTTGAATGAGTATTAGATGGCCGTCTTCTGTTGATTGAATAAACAAATTCGACCGCGATTACTCGTTGAGAAACCACGTGACATTGCTAATATCCCATCGATCCTAAGGCGCATGCAAAGATGACGGGTATCGTGAATAAGGTCTATCCAGTTAATCCAGTGCCTGGAATCCACTAACTGCCTTGGATTGCGATACATAGAACCAGCATACCTAAGGTTCGTTCTTTCAAAGAATATGTGCGTTGTCTCCCCGCAAAATCAGCGGATCTTGTCACGAGTATCTCTTTGACTGCCTCCGGTGTTGAAGCCATTACCAGCTTGTGGCTTCCTATTCTCAGGGACGAAACACCACCGTAGTTTTGTCGAAGGCTGCAATTTCAATTCAAAGTAGGATTCAGGATCAAAAAATGCGCTGGAGGAAAATAAGTTGATAAACAGGCATGTAAGAAAACCAACCATTTGAACCAACGAAGGAAAAGTTCAAGTTTTCATATCAGCTGGGAAGAGTACGTAAATCTTTTTCATGTAGTGAATAGATAATGATGACAGTAATAATAATAATAATTTTCAACCGGTCGAAAATTCTTTCAGTGGCGTGTGAGCATAGAAATTAAATATTCTCGTAGTCTACTTATGAGTTTTATTTTTCCAATTCAGACAACGTGATGCTTGCAGAAAGGAATTTGCCTTTTGTCCATTCATTAGTTATGCACACATATGCATACAGTGTGGAAAGAGTGACATTTGAAAGAAACATTTCGCTGGGCTAACATCACATGATCTGAGGTGGAAAAGCAGAACATACAAGCTCAAAAAGATATATTGGTCTTAGGAAACTCAAATAGAGTGTCTATTTTTCAAGCCTTTCCCCCCAACGCCATGAACCCAGACTAGCCCCTCCCCTTCCCATTGTACTTTTGAAACCAAGATGGCAGCTCGTTAATAAGCTCTCGGTCACGAAGACCCTAGGGAAAAATAAGGAGCTGGTTACAGTCTATAATCCAAGTTATTTCAATGAAAACTATGACATTAAAAGTCGCACAGCGATAACACGTTTTTATAAAACTCTAAGAGTTCGCTTTCACTATTTCAGAAAGGGACACTGAAGAATTGAACGTGCATGATTACTGGTACAGATCAAATACATAATAAAATTTCCCGGCTATAGGTTTTATGAGTATAGCCTATAGTGCATATATATATTATGGATTCGTATTATACTAACCTTCGAAAACGGTCGCTTAATTTATCCGCTCTGAACTTAAGACTAAATATGTTTCCAAGCACAGGGAGAGCCGTAAAGCGAGGACCAGGTGGCATGTTTCTGAACTCGTAGAGCACCATCAGGTAATGAAGAAGGAACAGCAAAGGTAACAGCAGAAAAACATTCCCAAGACTGGTGAAACGATAAATGAGATCGACTATTAGCAGCATGACAACGAAATTGCGCGAAACCGTGATATACGCTCACGATCTAGTGAGTCAAGTATAGGCTGACCCCTGACTAATGAATGCATTATGCTCGTAAAATATGTCAAAGACCTCTAAAGCCTTTTGTCAGGTAGACAATATGGATTTACAGTGATTTATGTAAGAGCACTCACGCAAACGTGATTGTAAGAAAAAAACAGAAATAATCATTTTTTTTTTTTAAATATACTCCAACGCTTTCATGAATTTACAAGCAATCATTACAAGTTCGAACAAGTAATAGAGATCACTGTTAGATCTAGGAAATAAATAATTTTTTCTCTTCTCTTTAAGTGCTTTTACCAAACAATTAATTTACATTACGCTCCCGGCAGCATACAGCGAGATACAATATCATTAACAAAAACAAAATACAATAACTTTGAGTGGTCATCAACTGATCAAAATATTTAGCACTGAGGGATGGGGGGGGGGGGGAGGGTTTTGGGGAATTTTTTCACCCCCTAACCCCTACTTGCCTTCTCCCCCCACCCCTTTCGTCCCTTTTCCCCAACTCTTTCTACCCCTGTGTTTAAGAGGGACCCCCTTACGCCGCCCATGATATTTCGAGTACGGTGTTCCCCCTATAAGAGTATGTGGATGGAGGGGGGGGGGGGGGGGGGGGGGGGGGGTGTGGGTTGGGGCCTCTCCCCCCCCCCCCCCCCCTCCTCTCCCCCCCCCCTCCCCCTTTTTGTCTCTTCCCCCTCTACTTTTGCCCCCTTTTATATAGGACGGCCCCCTTTAGGTGTGTATAGAAGGGGGAGGGAGGGGCTTTTCCCCAGCGGGGGCGCGGCGGGGGGGGGGGGGGGGGGGGGGGGGGGGGGGGGGACCGCCCCTATTTTTCGACCAAACTGACGCCAGAAGGGCCGAGAAAATTTGCTTTTTGAGGCTGTTCCCCCCCATCCCTTATCTGAAGGTCTGAATCCGCTACTGTCTACATCCCTTCCTCTGCCAATCATCTAGGAAGAACGAAGAATTGAAGAATGTATGTGTAAATAGGCTTATTGTTAAATCTCGTATTTTGTCTTTTTTTTAATATTTAATATATCCGAACATATTTCTTAACGAAGTACCAGAGTGATGTCCTCATCGACTACAAGAGTGCTCAACAGTTGAACTAGAGCAGAGTACAAGTAGACTGATGGAACTGGATTAGATATTGAACATTTACTGTTACTCAGAGTTTCCTGCCTCTTGCGAAGCAATCATCTGGCAACTACCAAAAGTAACGGTTACAATCAAAGATATTCAGGAAACAACAATAATATGTTGCATCAGTAGTCTGTTTATATATTTCTGACGTGGTCAGACATTTCTTTTCTGTTTTATCCTTGAATTCCTAGACTAAACATTTAGGAGGAATAAAATTATTATTATTATTATTAGTAGTAGTAGTAGTAGTAGTAGTAGTAGTAGTAGTAGTAGTAGTAGTAGTAGTAGTAGTAGTAGTAGTAGTAGTAGTAGTAGTAGTAGTAGTAGTAGCAGTAGTAGTAGTAGTATAGCAGTTTAGAAAATTAGCCACATAGGACGCAAAGCGTAGCCTACGCTGCTTTACAGGCATTCAACACTAAAAAGGTGATGAACGAGTTAAATTTACACTGGTGCAATTTAAAAAATCCTAAGGAATCCTAAAACTAATGCAAACAAGGTTCACATAATGAAAAAAAGTAGGCCTATGCAATCCTATATCGATATATGCATTATATAAAACTAATGGCCAAGATTTGTATAATAAAAATGAAATATTAAAGCAAACCTAAGGCTTATACTGTCCACTATCTATGTTACTATACTTGAAATGCGGGTCCATGGCTTTACTTAGTAATAACCTTTAATGTCTGCGCAATGTTCAGGGAGGTGGGCAGAGCAGCCTTCTGCATCCTCTTCAGAATATCTCTCGATTGCGCACCAAAGATCTTACTCATCTCGACTTCTAGCTCCTTAGACTAACCCCCTACTCCACCCCCCAGCCCCCCCCCCTCAAAAAAATTGTCCATGATGACGTTCAGCTGTACGATATTGTCGACAGAGTACTGTTTGGTAAGCTCCCACAGCGGTGGTTGGTACTTCTCTGTCTTCTCAGAATCCTTCTACAAGCGATTGTCCAACAAAGGACAGCTCATTTCCACAGTCAACACCCTCATCGCCTTGTGGTCTACAAATCGCGCGTCCCCCCTGTTGGCTCGAACGAAAGTGCGTTCTGGGTAAACAGAAACATCCCAGAATACTTGAGCGTCTTCTGGCTCTCACAACGATTTAGGCTCCACCCGTGAGTACCAAGGTGGAACAGAGTCGACAAGCTTGAGGTCCCTCAGCATGGAAAAGAACAGCACCTTTAGTGCAGCATTATTCCTTTCCATATACTTAGTCTGCGCCAGCGATGAATATCCCCCCAAAACGTCAGCAAGGCTTTCTGGTACCTTACTGCACATTCTGCACTTGGTGCTAATTACATTTGTTCTGAAGTACCGGCCTTATAAGCCGCACAAACTCTGGTTGGTAAGAGCTGCTCATAAAGTTCCAAATTAACCCCCTGCGATAGTATGAGTAGGAGCCCACACCCACCCACTCAACCGGGCGAAACAGCCGTGTTCACTCAGCTGGTCGTCCTCCCATCTGGTGTGGTCCACAGCAGACGTCCTTGCAATCTCTGGTCTTCCATATTCTCCTAAAGGTTCTCCTCTACATCTTTCTTTAGATGTTTTCTCACCTGATATCTACTGATCCTGTTCTTTGGGACCTGCTGAGTGCTAAATGATGGATCGAAAGTGGCCAAAGTCAAACTAGTCCCCAGTTGCTCCGCAAACTTGTGCGCGTCTTTCACAAGTGAGGAGAATCCCTTCTCGCATGCTTTCTCTTTAAAATATCCGCACACTTCTTATCATTGGGTCTGGATTCTCAAGAAAGCGAAAATTGAGCGTATTGACCATGGCGCGGCTTCTTTCATTGACTTCGGGGGGAGGAGGGCTTATGCAGTCTATATGCTCAAGGCGTTCAGACAGTTGGAAGAGGCGCGAGGTAAAAAGAGGAGCGAAAAAAGTGAAAATGAAGGGGGGGAGGGGGAGGGAACGCGTTCCCTTGCCGCTACCACTAGTACGCCTCTGTTTCCCTCATTTTCTTTGCATTGCGCCACTCCTGACTAACTAAACGCATAGAAAAGCCGACGCATACTATTTAATTCTTGTCCAAACTGCGTGCAGCTTCCTCTTCGTCCTTTACCACACAAGAAAGACTGGTCTCAGGCTATAATGTAAACACCGTGTAGTGCCATTGAATGAATAGCGTGATAACCTGAGAAAACAACCGACATTTCGCGACGCCACCATTGGTTTCCCTGCGAAGACGTTTGAGAAATGAGCTCAGAAAATTCTATACTTATGACGCGTTACTACCTAGATCTGGGTAGTCAGCTTCTGATTGGTTGAGGCAAATTTCCCTCTTGACACGACCAATTACTGAAGCACCCAGTTCTTCAGATCTGGGTAGAGTGACGCGTCATCAATGTGGAATTTCTGCATTCATTGCTAAGACGTCATTTGACGGGGAAACCAGTGGTAGCGTCACGAAATGTCGGCTGTTTTCGCCAGCTAATAGCGTATGTCATTACTAACAATAGGAAATGCCAATAAGTATATGTATACTTTGCGGTTACCTAAAAATTTTAATTTATTTATTGTACAAAACTATATATCTTCCGGACCGATCCAGGAAGTTTTTCTTCCCCTCAAATTAATTGTATGCTAGGAATATTTCAGTTAGCGCTTAGATAAAGATGTCTTTTTATGGCGCGTATTTTGTACGGAGCAGGAAACTGAGTAATGCTTAGAATTCCCTTCAAACTTGGTGGGTGGCCATCTATTTCAGGGACGAAGGTGAAGTTATAACATAACCAGGAGACAAAGAGGTACAACTCAATTTTAGCCAAAGTTTCTCCGGCACAGACCCGACGACCAGCTCCAAAAGGGTAAAAATTACCCTGGCTGGTCATCAACATGCCGTTTGCATCAATATGGCGGTATGGGTTAAACACGGCCGGGTCTTCCCAGCATTTGGGATCTAGGTGGACAGATTCAGTGTCTGGAAACACGATAGTATCCTTGGGAACGCGGTAGCCACAGAGCGTCGTATCAGTAGTGGTGACATGAGGTAACAAAAGAGGCCCCACGTTTCCGACTCTGAGAGCTTCCATGATGGTCGCTTGAATTAGGGGAAGGTTTTGTCGGTCGAACAGGGAGGGGCCACGCCTAAAGACTACCTCATCTAGTTGACGCTGAATGTGGACTTGGTACTCAGGATAGTTAACTAAGAAAGCGATGACCCATTTTAGTGTGGTAGTCGTTGTTTCGTAGCCGGCTCCGAACATGTTTTGAACAGCATTTACCAAATAGTCGTCACTGAGAAAATCTGATCGCTCAGCGTCGCTGTCAAACTCAGCTTCCTTTCTAGCGAAAAGAAGCCCAGAGATGAAATCTTCTACAGGCTCAGTTGGATCAAAATTATCCTCTCTTTGTCTCAAAAATTTTCGAATTATGTCATGCATTTTAAAGAAAGGCTGTATAAAGCGATCGTAGGCCTTGATGGGCAGATATCTTGAGAATGGAAAGAAATCCAACATAGTTACTAGCTGAGCTATGTCTTCATTTTTCACGACTTGTTCGCAGAGTCGCAATAATTCCTTCAAATCTGGATGCGTAGTGTCATAGCCTTCACCAAAGGTGATTCCACAGATGACATCAGCAACACTTTGCATCAGACAATTCGTGGGATCAAACGGTTTTTCATGTTGGTCTTCCATGAATTGTACCAGTTTCTTGGCTTGTGCTGAGATTCGTTTTTCGATCAAAGGAATATCTGAGACATATTGGCGCAAGGCTGTTGTGAACAGTTTGCGGTGGAATTTCCAGCCAGGGCCATAGTCACCGAACGCAATATCTTTACCACCTGTATAGGAATAAAAAATGTTGCTTAATTTTAGTTTTAACCGCCCAAGGATTAGACCTCAGTCGGTGCAGGGTTTGACCGGGAGAGCGGGAGGTCGCGGTTTCGATTCCCGCGGGGCCGGGCCAATACTCAGTGTCCTAAAATAACTGAGAAATGGAGGTACTCCCTTTGCACTGCAGGCGGCTAGACCTTCGAGTGGCTTGGATGACCATGGCCTCGTAAAATTAGTGAACGTACATCGGGCGAAAAAGTTTTCCAAACAAAATTAAAGAACCCCTGAGAGGATTAAGAGAAGCTTATGAATAAATTCAGGGTAAGTCCTGTACATATAATACCTACCTAACGTCCTTGTAACAATAGAGTATGTTTGTGGTCTTCCAGCGAATTCAACGGACTTCTTCAGGAGCATTTCTCTAACGGCTTCAGGAGTTGAGGCCATTACAAACTTGTAGCTTCCAAATTTCATGGAGAAAACACCTCCGTACTTTATCTTTAGACTATGAAATAGAATGGAGAAAGAACAAAAAGTGAGCCACCAAGCGACGTGAGTCATGGGCGAAATAATGCGAACACAATAAGCCCATCTACCGCACTTTCCCTTGAGCCAAGTTCTTGAACTACTTGACCGGGTACGCTCGAGTAGAGAACGAGGGGCAGGTTTTTATTTTTATTTTTACAAACTTCGCCAAAAAATAAGATGAGTGACACTAAAAAAATGTAGATATATTCACAAGAGTACAGGCGGGGACTTATGCAACAGCGAGCGCCAATTATCATTATCGCTAAAATGTGAAAAGTACAATATACTATCTAAAAACAACAGGTAATGTTCCGTCCTAAATTATGGGCAGCGTTACAGGTCAAGCATATAGATTTTGAAAGAGCGAGCGATTTATATGGCCATCAGGGATGTAGAAAGCGACATGAGCTTGGTTCTAATAGACTGTAAAGGACAGCTTTAGAACAAGCAACAGATAGTCCAAGGTCTGCGGCAAGAGCATTCAATATAGTTCTGTCAAAGAACGATCTTTGAAAGGTTGTTTTTCTTTTTTACAGGACCTGATTAAAAATAAAGTGATACTGAAGGCTTTCCCTTCAGTCCATGCAGTCACAGTATACCACCAAGTTGCATTTTCGCGGAGAGCTCTTATTTACTCATTTTTCTTTCACCCTAGTTTTCGAACCTTCATAAGGTAATCCAAATTCCAGAATATGGGAAATGTTTGCTGTGAAATCCATAAAATCTTCGGCTGTGGAATCCGTAATTTTACTCAAGCAGTGTCCAGAATCCAGTTTCCACTGTCAATATCAGGCCCCCTCTAGAACCCAGAATCCACAGCCTAGAATTCAGCATCCAAGGCTGTCTTGGATTACCTTGCATGAGGTGCTAGTAGATTATGTAATCGACCAGATCCGTCTCCATCGCCCGAATCGTCTTAGCCTGTGCCAGGCTCTCAGATAGTTTAGTGGGAACGTATTAAAACGAGCAAAGCGAAAATAAGACGCGCACGACTTGGGAAAGGGGGCGGTGGCGGCGGGAAAAATGGGAGAGAGAGCCTCCGCCGCCCTGTCTCTCCCCAGCCCCCGCGCGTTTTTCGCATTTCTTATGATCATGATCATGACAGGCAGTCGAAACGCTCTTATATGGAAACACCTTGCGATGCGTGCGATCAATAAGACTGAGGCAACGGGCTGAAAAGAATTGAAACCTTTTTGCAGGCTGCCGGTTTCCATGATAATCGACTGGATCGTATCGATCAGGGGCACCCAACTTCAATTTCCGGAAAATATCTGTTCGGAAGACGATTTGAGATCTAGAATTTTCGAAACATTTGTTGTAAAATTTCTTGCTTGCCTGTCTCTCCTAGGATTTTCGAACATCTAAAAAATGGTATAATTGTCCATTTTAAACGGATTTTTACCCTAAAAAGGTCATCTAGAATTTTCGGGAGCCTTTTTTTCTGGCTGAAATTTTCGAAGGTAAGTTTTGATCCCTATAATTTTCGGATCACTAGTAAGACTTTCAGGTAGGTAATCCGAACAGATCAAAAATTTCTAGGGGATCAAAATATGCCTATATCTACTGTTTAAATACTAAAATACGTTTAACAATGCTATGTTCAGTTTAAGTGGTTTTGAGCTATATTCTGATCGATCGTTCAAATCATGCCAGGGGATCTCGCCAGCTTCGTTGATATTGGACCGGAAACAATGTGCAATCAACCCTACTGAACTGCTGATTATCTGTAATGGTCTGAAAGCTGAGGTTACAATGCCGGCAACAGTGATGTTTTAATACTTTGTAAAATCCATTTTACGAGGGATTTATTCCCAAAATATTGTTTTGATAATATAATGACCTAAGACCTTAAATGTATAATACGATAATCTTGTATGTGGTCATCTCAGTCATAATACGGGCGGACTTAGTCATTACATAACTAACTTACTAACTTTCGATGCCAGTCCTCGCCTTTGCTTTTGCACGATTTCCCTAAGATACTTTCAAAATACGGTTTTGTTTAGTCTATTTGTTCTTCTGACAGGCTATTAAACTAGAGTTCGAGTATGATATACTTGAACAAACAGATCAGCAGTATAAAAACATTACCTGTCAAAAGCGCTGGTAAGTTTCTCCGCCTTAAAGTCTAAAGAAAATATGCTGCCCACCAAAGGCACAGTCATCAGCCGAGGTCCTGGTGGCATGTTTCTGAACTCGTAGAGCACCATCAAGTAATGCAGAAGGAGCACCAGAAACAACAGCAGAAAAGCATTGCCAAGACTGAGAAAATCGTACTCCGTGGTAAAAACAAAGTCCATGATCAGCGAAGAACGGAAATAGAATTTTTTTATCAACGTCACTCAGTCGTGGGTATAAACAGCGACCATTTCCTATTGTGTGATGTCTTAATACTTAACAACCGTTAAGTCAGCTGGCCTCTATTTTAAGCTCATAAATAATAGAACTCTTTGAAACCCTTTCAGCCTCATTAAGCTTATGCACAATAAGCAATCAAAACTATGTTTAGTGTCATTCTGAGATATAAACAGTTTGTTGTTTTTGAAAACAGGAAAGGCAGCAGAACAGTAACCTTAGATTTGAATCAACTTCTCACAAGTAGGATTTCACCAGTTTGAAACTCCAAAGCGAAAAATATGAATCGACAGATGATCGGATCGACTCAGCCTGCCGGCCGCAAACACAAATCAATCCCCCGTTCTTCCATGACATTTCATGGCATCATATTGGCAATTTTGTTGAACGCAAGACCATCTAAGAGTGAGAGATTTCTTTTTCGTTTTCTCCGAGACGATTCAATTTTACATACTGCGGCTTCATGGTTCATAGATCACGTGGTTAAAGGGTAATTGGAAGGGCGAACATTGCCGCTACAGTCTTTGTTTCTTGGAATCGAAAACTTGTTTGGTATTCGGCATACAATGTCCCTTATAGTAAATGTTTTTCTTGTTTCCAAATATAGTGTTTCTACATAATCCTGTCTGGCTCTGCTTTTTTTTTTTTATTTGTTATTATTATTTTTATTAATTTACTATACCTCCTACTCACGACTTGTATCCCATGTAAGGTGTAGATCTTACTTTTGAGTCTATGGTTAAATGCAATCTTCTAGTCATTATATATTATTCAAAGCTGTAGAGCAGAAGACAGTGCATTTTCTATTGGAAAAAGTGTAGCAGCGCTAATCAAATTCATAGCGTTTGCCATGTCGTGCCTGTCTCATGGTGGCGCTCAAATGCGGGTCAAACGGCAATGAGGGATAGAAACCAGACAACGGTCGCCGGCTTAACTGCACGGTTGGAAGAAAATTGTTCAGGTCTCATTTGTACGGTGGCCCGTAAGGGACATTACAATTTTTTTTTTTTTTTGCTTAAGTTATCGCGCGATAATTTAAATTTATCGCGCGATAAGTTAAAATTATCGCGCGATAAAATGAATAGTTGTCGCGCGATAAATAAGAAAATTATCGCGCGATAAATGAGAAAATTATCGCGCGATAATCAGTCAGTTTATCGCGCGATAAATTTGCAGCATATCACATGATAAAGAGAAGCCTGACTCACGCTTTCCACCCACGTGTTTATAGCCTTTAATTCTCAGAGTTTAGCTTTTACAAGTATATCTTTGAGAGACCTTCCTTGTTTGTACGATATAATTGGAGGTTCTTTGTAGATCTGTCTAAGAAGAGGTTGGTTCTCTATCAGTTGCCAGTGTTTCATAAGAATGTTTTTAAGGCTAGCAACTCAAATTTCAAAGAACGCTTGATTGACAGAGGCTACCCACAAACTATGATAGAGAACCTTCCATCAGATATAAAGTTCATAGAGAGGGAGTTTTCACTCCTGAAACACAACAACAAAGAGGAAAAAGAAATATTGCCTATCGTGACACAGTACCAGCCCTTAGTGTCTACTTTAAAAGAAGTTTTAATGAAAAAATGGAATCTTATACAAAAACATCCGTTACTTCGCCAGATTTTTAAAGAACCACCTCTCATTTCCTACAAGAAAGGAAAATCCCTGAAGGAGATGCTCGTTAGAGCTAAAATATAAAAGGTTAACACAAGGTTTCACGCCGGTATCGATTTGCGGCCTGTCACCGCTTGCATTTTCGCATGTTAACCTTTAATTATTGCGCATGCTAATCCGCCGGAGAACTCAGTCCTTTTCTGTAAATACATAACAAGAACATAACCTTTATTCACTTCACTTAACAAAAGGGACCACTGTTGGACAATGAAATACTTTAAACTTGAAGCTGAGAAGTAACCTGGCTTGATTCTCACTGTATACACTCTCTTTTTTTTATAAGAATATTGTTTTCCCGGGCCAGGCTGAATATTCTTATTTTTCCGCCGATTTAAGGCTGTAAATATTCTCGTATTATTCTTAATAATAGCTTATGACATTTCCGTTTTAGAATATATTAAGGTATCAATTATAGTTTTGTTAAATATAGTTAGCTAGTTTTGCCGTTTAAAGAAAGGAAATTTAACTTTTGCATATAAACAATTGTATTTACAGATTTTCACCACACGAAATTATATCCTTTTCAAAATCTCAGCCTGGAGTTTATTCTTAAAGTATTCTTAAGATTTCGCAAATTTCAGCCTCGATATTGTTATAAAATATATTCTTATAGAAAAAAAAGAGTGTAGTTTTGAAACGAGAGATACTTGAGTATATATATATGTATAGCAATTGTAAATCTTAATTACTCCCCTTTTCCTTCAGGATTAAAAAGCTGTAATCCTTGCTTGGAAATTTAGCTTGGCAACTCAAATGAACCCTATTAAGCTGGCTTAAAAGTTAGACTATGACTCCTTCTTAGTATGATCATCAAGATAATGCATGCATACATGCATGCAACGTTCCAGCTTCTCTTTTTCATGTGATATGTTGCAATTTATCTCGCGATAATTCAAATTTATAGCGCGATAAACTGACTAATTATCGCGCGATAATTCAAACTTATCGCGCGATAATTTCAACTTATCGCGCGATAACTTGAGCAAAAAAAATATATATTGTAATGTGCCTTACGGGCCACCGTACATTTGCGATGATCGGGCGTTGCCTAGTTCCTGTAAGGCATTTTCCCAGGCCTTCTCGGTCAATTCATTTCGGTGACGTATCCGAAGCGAAATGGCCGCCACGTGACCCGAAATGCATTGAGGCCTAGGTAGTAGGCAAGATTGCTTAAAAGGTAAAAGATAGTCTTTAATACAAGGGTGTGGGACCTCGAGTTCATGACGCAGTGTTTAATTGTTGCACGGACCGGAATTCTCACTCTTCCTCGCCAAATGTAGGGGTATACAATCTTGCACTCTGGATTCCTCGCCGTGGATTCCGGATTCCACAAGGTACTGGATTCCCCATACTTTGTCTGTGGAACTTGGACTCCGGATTCCAATCGTTAGTAGGATTCTGGATTCCAAAGCCCAGGGTTGCGGATTCTACCGGTAAAAAAAATTGCTGGATTCCGGATCCCACAATTAAAAATTTCCCGGATGAATTCCGGAATCAGGATGCCATTACATGGGGCGCTAAGTCTGTGGTTTAAATAGCCTACGTAGCTGACCGGTTTTTTGGTGTATTTTTTTTTTTTTTTGTGGTTCGTAAAGTAAGAGATTCAACCGCACGAAATCTTCTTCCCGCCTCCTCTTCCCTATCGTTTTTTGTTCGACCTCGCGCCGCTCTAACTCTTACATTGCGATCAAACCACAAAGAAAACCGCTAGCTCTAGCTACGCACAGGCCAGTGGTTTAAATCGTGTACAGTGTGAACTGAACCACCTTCCCCCGGAAGTTTCTTTTGGATTGTTTGTTTGTTTGTTTGTTTTGTTTTGATATTTCTTCGTGTTGCACATGCATAAGGCAGTTCTAATTTTTGAATTGTGCTAGTGTGGCTACTAAGCAGTGCATTCCGATGGTGTTAGTATTGACGTGCAAGGTAATTCTACCTATCAGTGGGTGCTGTTTTATAAGAATTACCATTAATCACGCTGACGTTTTTAAAGTGGATGATTCTAGCTAGCTTTTCAATTGTGGCCATTAACATTCTCGAGATCACATTTTTCTATTTCTATGGTGCTGATCTACAGTCCTGGACAAAAATCCTTGGTAAGGAGATGCAGTATTCATAGTCAGTTCTACAATTTCTGCGTTCCCTTATAATCAGTGCAATTGTTTTTTGAAAATATCTTGCGCTTCTCCTCCTCTTCCCCCCGCCCCACCCTACACAAAGTTGAAACTTGGGAACAATTCTGGAAACACACATCTAACCTTGTTTATGGGGTGGGGAAGGGTTGGGCATGTGTGATTTAAAGAAAGCATCATAAATGCAGATGTGTCCCAAGACCGTGGTTTGTCCATGCTTGTAGCCTTTGCCGCCTCTAAGTGGCAGAGAGAGTTCGAAAGAGGCCTACAGCCGAAGTAAAAGAATTTAACTGACTCTTCAAAAAAGGAAAGAAGAAAGGTTTGCGTTCATTTCCTGACTGTGTAGGTCCTTTTTTTCAGTTAATTCTTTTTAAAGTTTGCTTTTTACTTCTTTTTCTAGCATCTCCATTTTCATTGCTAAATTATGATACTGTTAGCAGATTGATTTATCAAAGAAGATTGACTCACTCGACCACTCTGTGAGCGACGCAGGCGCCAGCAGCGTTAGTTTGTTAGTTACTCAGTTGCTGTATAGCACCCCAGTAATGAGTTATCTTTAAATTGGTTCAAAAATAGGGAAAGTGGCCTGGCTGAGCTGCAACGCATGGGAAGAACTGAAAGAGAAACTGCTTGGATCGAGGTTTGAGGATTGAAATCAACAGGATGAAGGCATTCTTTCATCTTGCATGTGCCTTGCATTTCTTATGCCTCTGCTCCAAAGGCTAAAAGTAACATACTCTTTTTAGACAAAAGCTCAGTGATACGTAACTATCACTCGCAGAGTCAGATACGGTCACACTCATTGTGAAGTTCTAAGATCTTCTAACCTCTAGTCTGTGGAAGAAATTCTATGGTCTACGAGACCTCCCCAGCAGTAGTTACATTACACGGTACTACTTAGTAGTCAGAGTTTGCAGGTCTAACTTTGGAGTCTGTGAATAAAATCTTAGAGATTTATGTATAAAATAATAATGATAAATTTAATAGCAATAATGATAATAATCATAATCATAATGAACAGAAAGAAGGAAATTTATCGACCTAATGCCTAAAGAGAAGAACAATGCAGACAGCAAACATTAGGGACTTTAAGATGCCACGACGGCGACGACAACAAGAACGTCAGAAAAGCAATAGGTCACC